GGGGGGGGGTCCAGGTTGACTGACGCTCTCCCCACAGGCCCCAGGGGGGCAGGCAGCCAGGCCGGGTCACTGGGGGGGAATGGGGGGTCCAGGCTGGCCCTGACACTCTCCCCACAGGCCCCGGGGGGGGAGGCAGCCAGGCCGGGTCACTGGGGGGGAGTGGGGGGATCGAGGATGACTCTGATGTTCTCCCCACAGGCCCCGGGGGGGGCGGGGAGCCAGGCCCGCTCACTGAAGGCCGGGTCGCTGGTCCGGCTGGTTCGGCACCTCCTGGAGGCCCAGACGCTGGGCGACGCCGCCTACGTCCCTGCCTTCCTGGTCACCTACCGGGTGTTCACCCGCCCCCCGACGGTGCTGGGGTTGCTGCTCGACAGGTGACGGGGCTGGGGTGGAGGGGGCGCAGGATCCTGGGGGTAAGTGAGGGGGAGGGGGTGCAGGACACGGGGTAAGTAGGTGGAGGGGGCAGGACGCTGGGGGAAAGTGGGGCGTGACTAGAATTGGGATTATGGGGGGGACGTGGGGGTAGAGGGGATGGGGGGACGCAAGGGGCGAGCCAGGCCCCATGGAGGGATGAGAGGGGAGGGCTGGGACCCGGAGGGGGGGGGTAGGGGGCGTGCACGAAGGGAAGGAGTCGTCCGGGTGTGGGGAGGGGAGCGCAGGGGCCATGGCAGCCCCCCTGACCCGGTCTCTCCCTCAGGCTGGAGGAGGTCGGGGCGCTGGAGCTGAGGCCCGTCTCCCCGGAGACAGCTGAGCTGCAGCGGTGAGTGACCCCCCCACAGGCCCCCCACATCCCTTCCCCCGGCCGTGTCCCCCATTCACCCCCATCTCCCCCCAGGGCCTTCTCCTCGGTGATGTGCTCCTGGCTGGACGGGTACCCCGAGGATTTCGGGGGGGCCTTGGACCCGGGCCTGGTGGAGCGACTGGGCCGGAGCCTGCAATGTGCCCTGGGGCAGGGCTCCGAGGCCGAGAGACGCCTGCTCGCCCTGCGGGGGGTGCCGGGGGGGCCCAGCAATGGAGGTGAGGGGGGCTGGGGCTGGGAGAAGCCTGCAGACTGGGGAGGGGGGCAGATGGATGCGGGAAGGGTCTGGTTGGAGAGGAGTGTGGGGGCCGGGAGGCAGGCGGATGGGGGTGGGGGGCAGATCTGGGTGGTGGGGAGATGGGAGGGGGTACTGGGGTTGGGGGG